GGATAAAAAGAATATTCGGATAGTTTTTATGTAATTTATCATCCGAAAAGAAAAAATTATTAGATCGCATATGAAATTGTATAAAAAACTAGATAAAAACACCTTGTCTGTCGTTTTCATTAAATATATATATATATGTATGTATGTATATGTGTGTGTGTGTGTGTCCTTTATATATATATTTAATAGATACAATTTATATATATATTTAATAGATAAAATTTATTTAAGTAAAGTTAAGATAGATAGATAGATAGATAGATAGATAGATAGATAGATAGATGGCTATATGCATACATATCAATAGGCTTAGATAGAGAGAGAGAGGCAAAAGGCAAAGTCTTTAGGGTTAGAGAGAGAGATTGGCAAGTATGAACACACACATATATATATATGTATATATATATATATATATATATATATATATATATATATATATATACTAACGTCTAACAAAACTAAACTTTTTCTTGTAAAGTGTATTGAAGGATCTTGTTTACAGGGCCAAATAGATAGAAACAGACTGAGATAGATAGAAGCAGGTATCTTTCGCCAGTGGGGACCGCATACTGAAGTGTGTTTAAAAAATACATATCAAAATGTCAGTTTGACTATTTAAATGGCGTCATCTTCAGTGATTTGAAATTGGTTGAAATTTGTGAGAACGCCAGAATAATAAAAAAAATCAATTGCATATAGATAGATAGATAGATAGATAGATAGATAGATAGATAGATAGATAGATAGATAGATAGATAATATTAGTGGTAAATATACACATACATATGCAAAATATATAAATATATATACATTGGTGCATACACATACATATATATTTTTTAATAAAAAATTCCAAGAGGATAGAATCCAGGTAGAACTCAATGTCCAGGACAGAGTAATAATATAATAAAAAGGTTTAAACACTAATATTCCATGGTCAGAATTTATTCCATTGAAATCGTAAATACGATCCAATTCATCAGACCTACAAATTCAAAAAGTCTTACCCCTCTCTTTAACTATAACATTCGTCCCACACTCTCATACATACACTCTCTCTAAATTCTATTTTTATTTCCGGAGTTGTTTTTTCTGTTTTCTTTTTGAATTTGTAGGTCTGATGAATTGGATCGTATTTACGATAAATTATGACCATGGAATATTAGTGTTTAAGCCTTTTATAATATATATATATATATATGTGTGTGTGTGTGTGTGTGTGTGTGTGTGTGTGTGTGTGTGTGTGTCTGTCTGTGTCTGTGTCTGTGTATGTATACATACACAAAACACAATCCTTGAAAACGAATGTAGCAACATTCAAAGCTACTCTGAAAAAATAATATAAAATATGAGGTTTGGCAAATTTACTGATGATATTGGATTGGTGCATAATTAACAGGCGTTTATAAGCAATATTTATTATAAAAAAAAGAAACATAATAATTCGACAATAACATTTTTAAATGATTATTCCGGAGCGTATGATTATCGAAACGCATTTTTATAACCTGAAATATTAACAAATAACTAGACTACAAAAACGCCTGATAATTACGCACCAACCTAATATATATATATATATATATATATATATATATGTAGGCGAGTTCATTGTTAATAATATATTTTAAAAAAACAATATAAAACAGCAAATTCGGAAATTTGAGAAGCTTAATAAAAAATTTGATAGACAGAACTTGTCGATATTATTTAACCAAGTATTTTTTGAAAGAATTATTGCTGTCGAAATACACCTTATTCATACATACATATATATATATGTGTATGTTTGTGTGTGTGTGTGTGGTGCACACGCCCGATATTTAGTGGAAAGTGCTCAATATACGTGACAGAGCTAATATATGCGGTTGCATGGATAATAGTTTGTAATCCCGGTTGAAAGATCGCGAATGTCTGAAACCCCGAGTTACAAAATTCAACCCATGCAACCGCATATATATATATATATATATATATATATAAAATATCCTAAAATAAATAATAATTATATCTGTATATATATATATATATATATATATATATATATATATAAATTAATTATATATATATATATATATATATATATATATATATATATATTATAATTATTTTTTTGAAAATATGATTCCTTCGCTACATAAGAGTTCTCATGTTTCAAAAACAGGAGTCAAAAACTTCAATATAATTATTAAAATTAAATTGAATTAAAGTATCAAGCTCTGTTTCATCTTCAAGCAATTTTTTTTTTAGATTCCCAAAATTTACAGAGCATTTACTTAAATATATGTATCTTTAAAAAAGAATGTATAAACATAAAAATTTCTTAAAATAATTGTCGGACTTTGTCCATTTTATAATATATATATAGAGAGAGAGAGAAAGATAGATAGATAGATAGAGAGAGAGAGAGAGAAGAGAGGGCAATTTTCTCTGTTAATCCTGGATATGACGATAAACTACACCCGACAACAAGGTCTCTATTTTTGGAGAATGGAAGTTTGGTGTTTTTGGAACCAGCTCTTAGTTGTGGTTATTCCCAGGCCCACCTTTTGCTCGGGGTGGTAGCACTTGTTAGGGTCCTAGCCATGGGCATCTAGTTAACCCCGACCCAAACTGAGGTCAAAACACTATCAAAGTATAAAAATAGATTTTTATAGTAAATAAATTTTCATGGTAAAGAAATTTACCAGCAATACGTTTTTTTTTAACAAAGAAATTACTTATCTTCGAAAGAGAATTAAATTTTAGCATTAAATGACCCATAAAGAGTTGATAGGACGCTAAATAAACAAAACATATTTTTAAAGCAAAATGACCATCAATGCATTTTTTCTTTCGCTGTAGGCATCTAATTACTTTTAAAATATATTTGGTTCTGTCAGAATATTATATTCAAAATATTTAGATTTTGGCATTAAATGACCCGTAGAGGTGTTGATATTCCTCTAACCAAAATAAAGCAATCAGCCAGTCTTGTATGCGTACAAGTGTCCACTTTCCTGGACTTAATGAATATAAAAATTGATCAAAATTTTATTGATTTTGAGCGTTTTCAGGTAATTTATTAAACAGTGTCAAGATTTTTTTTTCTATTATTCTACTATTATTATTCTACTGTAATTATTTTTTTTATTAATCTACTATAATATTTTTATTATTCTAATATAATTCATTTTTTTTATTATTCTACTATAATAATTTTTTATTATTCTACTATAATAATTTTTATTATTCTACTATAATAATTTTTTATTATTCTACTATAATTAAATTTTTATTATTCTACTGTAATTAATTTTTATTATTATACTATAATATTTTTTTTATTATTCTACTATAATTCATTTTTTTATTCTACTGTAATTAATTTTTTATTATTCTACTATAATATTTTTATTATTCTACTATAATAAATTTTTATTATTCTATATATTTAATTTTTTATCATTATACTCTAATTAATTTTTTTTATTATTCTACTATAATATTTTTTATTATTTTACTATAATTAATTTTTATTAATCTACTATAATTAATTTTTTTATTATTCTACTCTAATTAAAGTGCTGTTATAGACACTACAAAAGTTGCTTTACTGGATGCCCGGCTTTATATATTTTTACATTTCCGTTTAGGTATCCAGGATACTTGTATCCTATTTCGGCATTAATTGATATAATCATTTTATTGACGATTTTTTCTTTCTTCGGTATTTTATTATTATTATCATTATTATTTAATTTTGTAAATTTGGCTTTTCATCCCAGATGCTTTGAAGTTTCTTCTTGTAATCACGTTTATTTAGAATAACGTATATATTGGTTTTTTCAGCCCATCTAAAGACGGCCGTGGGGATGATAAACTACATTTTAAATGTCAATGATAATGGTCCTCAAAGACACATGGCATTGTGGATAAAGGTGTTAGTTAGATCCAGGACCCAAAGAGTGTGAGTTCAATACCTGGTTAAGGCAGTGGAGAACATTCAGAGGGAATTAACAGGTGATAACATGGCACGTGGGACTAGAACAGTCTACCCCAGTGAGCGAAATAAAGGGTCCAGTTCGACATTCCAACCATTTGAAGAAGGCCGGAGTGTACAACGGCCCAAACGGTGTAATAAATATGGCGACAATGATGAGGACAATAGTCCAAATAATGTAAATAGTGTACAATAAAGATTTCGGCATTAAATAACCTATAGAGGTTGATATGCCGCTGAAAAACAAAGGGCCAACTTTCATGATATTAATCCATATAATATCCCATAATTTCTTAAAGAAATCAAACTGTATTCCAAAATATAACTTCGACAAATCTACAACATAAAAGATACATATCAACACCTCTAGTAATGGTGTCTACTCAAACATGCATAGTGATTTTCCAAGTGTAGCTTATATGTGGCACAAGGCCGAAAGTAAGGGATGGAACTCACTACTCAGTCGTAATCGTTCTAGCGAGATAAACTTGCTATTACACCACCTCGAGATGCCTCCGCTCAAACATGCATATTGCACATAAGCTATGTATCATCTACCATGTATTCTATTGTGAAAGCATAATAACTTATATTTTTATTTTTTCAGAAGTTCCAAGAAAATTAAATTTCGGCATTAAATGACCCATAAGGAGTCGATGTGCCATTGAACAGACAAATCAAATCAAACGATAGTGGGATCTCTTTTTATTCTTTTGCTTTTATTTTAAGCTTTCTTGTGGGGATACTGTTTTAATGGTTGCAAATGGCACGATTTTTAAAAACCTTCTGTCTTCAGGAAATCTATTAAATTTGAATGTATGTTAATTAGTATTTCAACAAGTTGGAATAGTGACTAGTGTAAGATTTGCACCAATTGTATATGTAGATATGAGACTAGCACATATGTGTAGGCTAAGTAGATAGATACATGCTGGGTGGGAAAAATTTCTCCGAGGCGACAATTTTTCTCATCATCTCACTTAATAACAAATATTAGAGATTTTTTGGGGGAGAGGTTTTGGGTTGGAAAGTGTACTCTTCACAAGCTCTTGTGCGTGTTCATATCTATCTATCTATCTATCTATCTATCTATCTATCTATCTATCTATCTATCTATCTATCCCCCTCCTTTCTGGTTTACTTATCTCATCTAACATTTATACAAAATAAAAGAAATAATTCAAGTCGCTTGAACCAAACTCCCAAAGAAATAAATATCATGTCCTCTGTGTCTAAAAGCAAATCCAGCCATTGTATTTCTTTTCTGTTTTCAATATATGGGTATTTTTCCTATTCTTAGGGGTCTAGCATTTCATCTTTGCTTTTGTTTTATTTATTAGTTTGTTTGCTTGTTTGTTGTGGGGTTTTTGTGTATTTTTTTTTTTTTGTTGTTTTACTTTTTGTTTTTTGTACTGTGGCTTATTTTGTTTGGTTGGTTGACGGGGGTTTCCTTTTATTAAATCTTATCTTCAAGATGGCGGAGAAAGGCAGAACTATGGATTCACTTCTCTTGCCCAGTCCTGTCTCTCTACATCCTTATCTTATTTATTTATATATTTTTGTTTTAATTTTTTACATGGCTTCATTAGGGAAACGTTCTTCTTTTTTTGTGTTGGTTTGTGTTTCGTTCTACACTTATCCGTTTGATGTATTTCAGATTTCATTCAAGTTTTCCTAAGTTCTGTTTCGAAAGCCCAAAAATAATGTTATGCTAACCCCACCCCCCCTCTCTCTCTCTCTCTTTCGTTTTTATTTTCTTTCTTTCTTTCTTCCTTTCTTTCTTTCTTTCTTTCTTTCTTTCTATTCTTTATCTATCTATCTATCTATCTATCTATCGATCGATCGATTAAGCTATATATATATATATATATCACCTTCTTTTCCTTCTCTCTCTCACTCTCTTTGTCTCATTCCCTCACTGTCTTTCATCTTCTCTGTCTCTCTTTCTCTCACCTTCTCTAGTTTTCCATGTATATGTATCTGCCTCTCTTTTTCTCTGCCTCTTTCTCTGTGTGTCTCTTGAAAAAGAAATGAAAAAGCAAACGAAACAATTATTTGTCTCACTCCCTTTCTCTGTCTAATACATTTTTCCTTTCCAGGTCTCTCTCTCTCTATCGTTCTCGCTCTCTCTCTCTCTCTCTCTCTTTCTTTCTCTCTCTCTCTCTTTCTGACACACACACACACTCTTTCTATCTGTGTTTATATCTCTCTGTCTCTTTCTATCTCTTTCTCTCCCTTACTTTTCTTTCACTCTCTCTTTCTCGCTCTTTCTATCTTTTCTCTCTCTTTTACTTTCACTCTCTCTCTCTCTCACTCTCTCTATCACTCAAGTAAAAAGATGAAAGGAAGAAGGAAAATAATGAGAGAACAATGGGAAGAATGAAGAGTAAAAACGTTTCTCTATCTCTTTTACTCTCTCTCTCTCTCTTTTCTCTGTCCTTTAATTAGTATATTTCCATACCTCCCTCTTTCTCTATCTCTCTTTTTCTATCTCTCTCTGCCCTTTCTCTCTCTCTCTCTCTCTCTCTCTCTCACTCACTCGTTATCTATCCTTCTCTCTTTTTTGATTTCTCTATCCCGTTCTACTTCTCTGTTCTTTTCTCACTTTGTCTATTTTTTTCTCTCTCATTACTTCTTTCTTTTTCTTTATCTGTTTTCTGTTTCTCTTTCTTTCTCCCTTTTTCTTTTTTCTCCTCTTCATATATTGCTCTCTTCTTCTTCTTCTTCTTCTTCTTCTTCTTCTTCTTCTTCATAATCATCATCATATTCTTCTTCTTCGTTTTCCTCCTCTTCTTCTTCTTCTTCCTTTTCCTCTTCTTCTTCATCTCTTTCCTCGTCATCTTCCTCATCATCATCTTCTTCCTCCTCCTTTTCCTCCTCTTCCTCCTCTTCTTCTTCCTCCTCCTTTTCTTCTTCCTCTTCCTTTTCTTCTTCTTCTTCTTCATCATAATCATCATCATATTCTTCTTCTTCGTTTTCCTCCTCTTCTTCTTCCTTTTCCTCTTCTTCTTCATCTTCTCTTTCCTCGTCATCTTCATCATCATCTTCTTCTTCCTCCTCCTTTTCCTCTTCTTCCCCCTCTTCTTCTTCCTCCTCCTTTTCTTCTTCCTCTTCCTTTTCTTCTTCTTCTTCTTCTCTATCCCACTTAATCTATCTTCTTTTATCTCACCTCTTCCTCTATTTCTTTCCCTTCCCCGTTCTCCTTCTCGATATTTTCCATTGCTCTCTTTCTCTCTCTCTCTCTCTCTCTCTCTCTCTGTCTTTCATATTCATATTCTATTCTTCATTCCATAAATGATGCCTTTCTCTTCTTTATAACAATTCTTCCAACTTTCTTTTCTTTTTTTTCATTCTCTTTATATTCTTATTTGTTCTTTCTCTCTTTTTATTTTACTTTACTTTCTAGCAATCTTTCTTTTTCTTTTCTACCTCTCTTCTACTCATCTTCGTTTTCTTCTTACATTCTTTTTCTTCTTCTTCTTCTTCTTCTTCTTCTTCTTCTTCCTCTTCTTCTTCTGCTACTACTACTACTACTACTTCTTGTATTTTCACTTTTTTATTTGTTTTCTTTCTTCCTGAAATTGTTCTTTTTCCTACTCTGACGTTTTTCTTTCAATCTTTTCTCTTTCCTTTCTCTATTTCTCTCTTTTAATATTCTTCTTCTTTTTCTTTTCAATGTTCTTTCTCACTTTCATTTTGTTTATTTTCCTTCTTCCTAATATTGTTCTTTTTCCTCCTTCAACGTATTTTTCTCATTCATTTCTCTTTCCTCTCTCTATTTCTTTAATTTAATATTCCTCTTGTTTCTTCTTCTTCTCAGGGTTCTTTCTCACTTTCTTTTTACTTATTTTCCTTCTTATTTTTCTTTTTCTCGTCTAATGTCTCCTTCTCGTTCTTTTGTCTTTCCTCTCTCTCTATTTCTTTTAATGTTCTTTATTTTCTTCTTCTTCTTCTTCTTCTTCTTCTTCTTCTTCTTCTTCTTAATGTCCTTTGTACTTATTTTCAATTGCTATTTTGCCTTATGTTTTTCTTCCTCTCTTTCTCTTCTTCCACTCCTTTCGATTATCCCTTATGTTGTTCTTTCTTTTCATATTCATCATATTTTCTCACTTTCTTTTTACTTATTTTCCTTCTCCTAATTATTCTTCTCTAACGTTTTCCTCTCATTCTTTTCTCTTTCTTCTCTCTATTTTCTTCTTTTAATATTCTTCTTTTTCTTCTTCTTCTTCTTCTTCGTCTTCTCAGTGTCCTTTCTCTCTTTCATTTTACTTATATTTCCTTCTTCCTATTATTCTTCTTCTTCCTCAACCGAACGTTTTCCTCTCATTCTCATCTTATCTTTCTTTCTTTCTTTCTTTCTTTCTTTCTTTCTTTCTTTCTTTCTTTCTTTCTTTGCCTTCATATCTGCCGTGCTTCGTTCTTATCTTTTGTTAGTCAAACGTGACGCATGCGCTATCTCAGCCAGTACCATACTGTTCCCGCCCATCGCCGCCATGTTTGCTGCGCGCATCTCTTTTCTCCTTGAACCGACAGGGAATAGCAACGATACACGGCGATGGCGGCGATAGGAATCTCCCCATTTCAGGAGATTGAAGAAAAAATATGAAGTCGTTTCTTCTCGACACGAACAAATCCAGATTCAAGAAGAAAGGAAAAAGAACAGTCCTGAATTTTCATGACTTTTAAATCACTATATATTCTATACCAGTTTATTTAAATTAAAAGAAGCTATTTTAAATCACCAGTATTTTGGTAAGATACCAAAAGTGCTTTTTAATGGAGTTATTTGAACTTTATTTTATTATTATTTACTAAACCTGTTGGTCGCCTCTCATAGAGCTCATTGTCAGGCTCATAAATCAATGTGGTATAGAAAGTTCGATCCTCACTGTTTATTTTTTTTTATTTTTTATTTACTAATTAGTCATCCAATACAAACCTCAAGAGCCACTCAAGGAAGAGTGACTGATTCGTTTTCTATGGTTTACCACTCATTTGCAGGTTATTTTTTTTTTTACATACTAATGGTTTAGAAATACATGTCTAATTAACCCATAGCTGGAGGGGAAGAGATGGATTCGTGCCTAATCAGAATTTGATAAACAGGAAATTATAATGTGGATATAAAGTTGGGATCAATTCTATATTACTATCAGTATATAAAATGATCCCTCACTTTGTAGCCAGGATGGTTTCTATACATAAAGATTCCAGAGAATTTAAATAAATCTAAAAGACATGACTGTGTAGCTAATCAGTATTTCATTGATTGATTCATTCATTTTTTATGGCTTATCAATACTTTGCAGTCATTTAAAACCAAGAAGTATTTTTAGATTGTAAGACTTTTATATTTGAAGATAATGATGGTTTAGTGATACACGTCTTACTAATTAACCCATAGCTTGGGGAAAAAAGATGGATTCGCGCCTAATCAGAATTTGATAAAGAAAAAAGAAATTATAATGTGGATATGAAATTGGGGATCAATTTTATATTACTATCAATATATAAAGTGATCCCTCACTTTGTGTACACGGCAGTTTCTATACATTTATATTCCATAGAATGTAAAGAAATGCAAAAGACACGTCTGTGTAACTAATAAATATTTCATTGATTGATTAATTCGTTTTTACGGCTTATCAACCCATTGTAGTTTATTTAAAGCCGGAAAATATATTTAGATTTTAATCATTCTTTTATTTGAGATAATAATGTTTTAGTGATGCAAGTTTTACTAATTAACCCATAGCTGGGGGAGAAGAGTTGGATTCATACCTCTCCTAAGAGTAAGTGAATATAACGAACCTAACGGGAATTAGAACTCGGATCTTCAATTAACAATTATCTATTACACCATCCGCACATCCAAGGATACAACATCTGGTATTACCAAGTGGTCACCCATGTACATACTGACCAGGATCGGCGGTGCTTAACTTCATTGATGTAGCCGTAAGGGTACTGAATGAGGTTGTTGCATGAACACAGGATGGGGAAAGAACTTTGATCCATGACTTGAAGAAATTGATTGTAGCGGTTGGGGAATTATCCTCTTGGATGCCTTTTCCATAGAGTCGCGGTTCTTGGAATGGAGCTGTCCGTTTGGAATATTCTTTTGTTAATTCACTTTTCTTTTCATTTTTTTGTCTTAATGGGATACTAAGGGAATAGGGCAGATTAATCCCAGTGTACATGTCATGGGGCGTCTTATCTGTAATGGTATCAACTAGTGGAACTAATACAGGGAGATCGTCAGAACATTTGCCGTGTCTAACTTCTGTGGCTCCTCGACGTTAGACAAGGTTGTTTGTGACGTCTGTCATGAGCCAATATTTAGAAGATTACTATAGCAGAATTCTCTGAGTTTTAGAAAAAAAAACGAATACTGCGGCAGAATCCTCTTAGTTTTAGAAAAAAACAAATACTGCGGCAGAATACTCTTAGTTTTAGAAAAAAACAAATACTGCAGCAGAATCCTCTTAGTTTTAGAAAAAAAAACAAATAAGCAAATCCTCTTACTTTCAAAAAAAAACAAATACTGCGGCAGAATCCTCTTAATTTTAGAAAAAACAAATACTGCGGCAGAATCTTTAAAAAAAACAAATATTGCGGCAGAATCCTCTTAGTTTTAGAAAAAACAAATCCTCCTTTAGTTTTAGAAAAAAACAAATACTGCGGCAGAATACCTCTTAGTTTTAGAAAAAAACAAATACTGCAGCAGAATCCTCTTAGTTTTAGAAAAAAAACAAATACTGCGGCAGAATCCTCTTAAATTTAGAAAAAACAAATACAAGAATACTTAGTTTTAGAAAAAAACAAATACTGCAGCAGAATCCTCTTAGTTTTAGAAAAAAACAAATACTGCGGCAGAATCCTCTTAGTTTTAGAAAAAAAACAAATACTACAGCAGAATTTTAGTTTTAGAAAAACAAAACAAATACTGCGGCAGAATCCTCTTAGTTTTAGAAAAAAAAAATTTAGAATCCTCTTAAAAAAAAAAAATACTGCGGCAGAATCCTCTTAGTTTTAAAAAAACAAATATTGCGGCAGAATCCTCTTAGTTTTAGAAAAAAAAAAATATTGCGCAGAATCCTCTTAGTTTTAGAAAAAAACAAATATTGCGGCAGAATCCTCTTAGTTTTAGAAAAAACAAATACTGCGGCAGAATCCTCTTAGTTTTAGAAAAAACAAATACTGCGGCAGAATCCTCTTAGTTTCAGAAAAAAACAAATACTGCGGCAGAATCCTCTTACTTTCAGAAAAACAAATATTGCGGCAGAATCCTCTTAGTTTTAGAAAAAAACAAATACTGCGGCAGAATCCTCTTAGTTTTAGAAAAAAACAAATACTGCGGCAGAATCCTCTTAGTTTTAGAAAAAAACAAATACTGCAGCAGAATCCTCTTAGTTTTAGAAAAAACAAATACTGCGGCAGAATCCTCTTAGTTTTAGAAAAAAACAAATATTGCGAATCCTCTTAGTTTTAGAAAAAAAATACTGCAAATCCTCTTAGTTTCAAAAAAACAAATACTTAGTTTTTTAAAAAAAAAAATACTGCGGCAGAATCCTCTTAGTTTTAGAAAAAACAAATACTGCGGCAGAATCCTCTTAGTTTTAGAAAAAACAATACTGCAGCAGAATCCTCTTAGTTTTAGAAAAAAACAAATACTGCGGCAGAATCCTCTTAGTTTTAGAAAAAAACAAATATTGCGGCAGAATCGTCTTAGTTTTAGAAAGAAAACAAATATTGCAGCAGAATCTTCTTAGTTTTAGAAAAAAACAAATATTGCGGCAGAATCCTCTTAGTTTTAGAAAAAACAAATTGCGGCAGAAAAAAAAACAAATACTGCGGCAGAATCCTCTTAGTTTTAGAAAAAACAAATACTGCGGCAGAATCCTCTTAGTTCTTAGACAAAAAACAAATTAGAAAAAAAACAAATACTGCGGCAGAATCCTCTTAGTTTTAGAAAAAACAAATACTGCGGCAGAATTCTTAGTTTTAGAAAAAAAAATTGAGAATCCTCTTAAGAAAAAACAAATATTGCGGCAGAATCCTCTTAGTTTTAGAAAAAAACAAATACTGCAGCAGAATCCTCTTAGTTTTAGAAAAACAAATACTGCGGCAGAATCCTCTTAGTTTTAGAAAAACAAATACTGCGGCAGAATCCTCTTTAGTTTTAAAAAAACAAATACTGCGACAGAATCCTCTTAGTTTTAGAAAAACAAATTGCGGCAGAATCCTCTTAAAAAAAACAAATACTGAGGCAGAATCCTCTTAGTTTTAGAAAAAACAAATACTGCGGCAGAATCCTCTTAGTTTTAGAAAAAAACAAATACTGCGGCAGAATCCTCTTAGTTTTAGAAAAAAAAACAAATACTGCGGCAGAATCCTCTTAGTTTTAGAAAAAACAAATATTGCGGCAGAATCCTCTTAGTTTTAGAAAAAACAAATATTGCGGCAGAATCCTCTTAGTTTTAGAAAAAAAAACAAATACTGAGGCGGAATCCTCTTAGTTTTAGAAAAAAAAAATATTGCGGCAGAATCCTCTTAGTTTTAGAAAAAAACAGAATCCTCTTATTTAAAAAAAACAAATTGCGGCAGAATCCTCTTAGAAAAAAAAACAAATACTGCGGCAGAATCCTCTTAGTTTTAGAAAAAAACAAATATTGCGGCAGAAAAAAAAAAAATACTGCGGCACAAGAAAAAACAAATACTGCGGCAGAATCCTCTTAGTTTTAGAAAAAAAAAATACTGCGGCAGAATCCTCTTAGTTTTAGAAAAAACAAATACTGCGGCAGAATCCTCTTAGTTTTAGAAAAAAACAAATGAGAAAAAGTTTTAAAAAAACAAATATTGCAGAATCCTCTTAGTTTTAGAAAAAAAAATACTGCGGCAGAATCCTCTTAGTTTTAGAAAAAAAAATACAAATACTGCGGCAGAATCCTCTTAGTTTTAGAAAAAAAACAAATACTGCGGCAGAATCCTCTTAGTTTTAGAAAAAACAAATATTGCGGCAGAATCCTTTTAGTTTTAGAAAAAAAAAAATACTGCGGCAGAATCCTCTTAGTTTTAGAAAAAAAACAAATACTGCGGCAGAATCCTCTTACTTTTAGAAAAAACAAATACTGCGGCAGAATCCTCTTACTTTCAGAAAAAAAAATACTGCGGCAGAATCCTCTTAGTTTTAGAAAAAACAAATACTGCGGCAGAATCCTCTTAGTTTTAGAAAAAACAAATACTGCGGCAGAATCCTCTTAGTTTCAAAAAAACAAATACTGCGGCAGAATTTTAGAAAAAACAAATACTGCGGCAGAATCCTCTTAGTTTTAGAAAAAAAACAAATAATGCGGCAGAATCCTCTTAGTTTTAGAAAAAAAAATACTGCGGCAGAATCCTCTTACTTTCAGAAAAAACAAATACTGCGGCAGAATCCTCTTAGTTTTAGAAAAAAAACAAATACTGCGGCAGAATCCTCTTAGTTTTTAAAAAAACAAATACTGCGGCAGAATCCTCTTAGTTTTAGAAAAAACAAATACTGCGCAGAATCCTCTTAGTTTTAGAA